TCAGTTGGCAGGCCAGATGCAGGTCCAGATATTTTGTTCGCTTATTTGTTTCAGCTATCGCGAGGTTTTCGTCAGGGAACGGTAATGTCCAACAAAAATATCCTAAAATGTGTCCGTCCGATCCATCTACACAATATCAAGCTTATTCGCAAGAACAATTGTGTCGTCACGGCAAGTACTTATGATAAGGCAGTTTCAGACAACAAGACCGTATTTCTGAGCGAACTCCTGGTGTAGAATCCTGCCTATTACAGGTTTTGTCTGACTAATATGTTAGGGCACACTGAAATGATCGGGAATAGAATATTTCGGATTGAGTTACAATGAAACCTTTTTTAGAATTTGAATACTGGCCTCTTCGAATCTTAATGACATTCAAACAATTAAAAAAAAATGTTAAAAAATAAAAACTATGTTGATTTAAAGTTAACACGTCGTTAACAGAAATGGAGCTCACGCATGAACATTTTCGTGCCATAATTTATCACAATTTTCGTCGCGGCTTAACTCAAGATAAATGTCTCAGCGAACTTGTTTCGATTTATGATGTTGAAGTACTAAGTCAAACGACAATATATCGCTAGTATGCCGAGTTCCGACGCGGTCGTGTGTCACTCAGCACTGTTTCTTCTGCAGGTCGACCAAGAACAGCGGTCACGCCTGAAAACATCGCAGCTGTGCGAACTATTATATTAGGTGACCGTCATGTGACATACGAGCAGATTCGGGCTGTTGTCTGTATCGGAATGACTGCAATTCATTCGATATTACATAATGAGCTGTGTGTAAGAAAGCTAGTTTCACGCTGGGTTCCCCACAATTTGTCCGAAGAGCAAAAGGCAGCTCGTGTAGATTGGTGCTGGAATAGTCTGCAACACTTCAACGGAGTGAAGTCAAATGCCATTTATAATATTGTCTCAGGTGACGAATCATGGATTTATTCATACGAACCTGAAAGAATACATCAATTAGCAGTTTGGGTCTTCGAAGACGAGGTCAAAACAACGAAAGTGGTTCGCTCCCACACCGTGTCAAAGAAAATGGTCACTACGTTTGTCTCGAAAAAGAGGCATGTTGCTACAATTTCTTTACAGGAACGCAGAACGGTTGCCGCTGAGTGGTATATCACGGTTTGTTTGCCAGAAATGATAGCTAAACTCCGAAAAAATAACCCGAAACGTCGCATCATCTTACATCACGATAAAGCGAGCTCCCATACGGCTCGGAAAACAAATGATTTTTTGAAGCAGGAAACGTTGAGCTGATGAGCCATCCTCCGTACAATCCTACAACGAGCAATTTCTTTACATTCCCTAGAATGAAAGATTTATTACGCGGTCAACGGTTTGAAGACCCCGAAGCAGCTGTGGAAGCGTATAAATCAGCCATTTTGTCAACATAACTTCAGACTGGAATTACTGTTTTGCTAGGATTGATTTGCACGAATGGAAAAGTACATTAAGAGGATACCTTGAAAATGAATCGAAGTTTTGGGGGCGTGACTTATTTCACTGTCGGTGAAAGTAACGGACGACTGCGGGAGTGTCAAAATGAAAGTGATGCAATGACTTCATAGTACGCAAATTATGAGATAACCATACCGAGCAAGCGCTCGGAAAAAACTAAGTAAGCGCTAAACAACATTTTTATTTATTTTAACAAAACTGCGTTATGGATTAAAAAACTGGTTTATGAAAACTTAGATATGATTATTTACTATGCCTTAAAAATAATTCCATGAACTTATTCGTAAGAATATTGTGGTGTCATCGAGAAATGTAAATAATTAGAGCCTAATTTGCAATTTTTTTCTATCGAGAAAATCACATGGTAGTATCGTGTTTTCCTTTTATGCAATCCAAGGTCATATAGTCAAAATTCATATACCGAAATTTTGGTTTGTAATCTATAAAACTTAAAAAAATATATTAAATAGAAAACCACCAAATTTTCGAGGTATCACCTTAAGTTGAACGGAGAATACTTCGAAAAACATCTTATTCCTGATCATTTCAGTGTGCCTCTCGTAAGCATAGTTAGAAAACGTTGAACAACCGGAAATGACACATCTAATTGATGTGACAAGTCCGTTAAGAACGTTTATCGTGTGTAGAATACACATTACATACTGACTGTTTCATACCCACCTCATCGATACTTATGTTCTGTGACATACTGATGTCTCAGCCCCGGAAAGGTTCTTTATGATAATGGGCATAGATAAGTCTATACCCTCAGAATTTACGACCTTACCTTTGGACATTGAGGACCGCACGCTTATCCGTCCCCAGCTCCATTCTGAACGAATTGCAAAAATCACAGATAATGTTTAGCAATTCCATAATACGGAAGCAACTTGAGGTTAATGACTTAGATCATCCATATAGAAAGGGAAGGTCACTTTTTTCTCCCTTTCCTAACTTGAAAACCCCTACATGAAACCCTACTGGACCTACTCTCGATACACAAGAATAAATCTAAGAGAAACATAGCTTACGCGACAGTAAAATATTTCGACTGAAAGAAATAACTTGTAAAAGCATACGTTTACCTGTTTTATTTTTGATTTTTATTAAGCTTTGTCTAGTAAAATACTAGCATTAATATTTTTTCATTATCGACCTGATTAATTTTTTTTAATTTAATATATTATAATGTTAATAATATATTAAATTATATAATAATATATATTTTTTTAATTTTGGTTTTGTTTACACCAATTTCATCATATTATGTTAATGCATCTCTAAATATGAATTTCATCCATCATTGTATGTCATTAATTAGAAAACCTTTACATAGGGAATCCATAGTGAAAATTAAATAAACTTATAAAAAGATTCCACCTTTACACACGCATTTTACAACCGATACATGTACGGTAATACCGCGGCAAGCCCACATCCACATGTGCATTGCTAGTGTCGTGAACAAAATTATTTTGTAAAAATACTTAAATTGCACCCCACTCTCAAATTCACAAATAATAAGAACATTATAATGCCAGTTACCAAACGCGATTGCAAAGTTTCTTGCTTACTAATTACTTGTAAAATTGTTAATACTTCAAGTATCCTCATACCAACAAAGAAAGAAAAATGAAGCAAATTTCAAGTGATGAAAAAACGAAGCCATGGTTTTGGCTTGCTTGCACAGCTTAAATCAAGAAGACGCATTCGTGTACCTACATGTACGCATTTAAAATCATTTACAACCATGAACCATTGACATGGTTTCCTCTATCGGATGAAGCTGTAAAAGCCAAATAGACTAATAGCGTTAACATCACAGAGTAAAGACATGGTTTTTGGTGTATATGTGTGCAAACTTTTACTGGCTTATAAAGAAAGAAAGAAGGAAGATGTGTTAGTTAGTGCGTGTCAAAAATTTTGAGCATGGTTTCGGCTTCACTTCAAGCATTTTTCCCTTGTTAGTCTGAGCAAGTATCAAGTTTAGTTAGGTATATATAAAATATAGCGGAAAACTATTTTAATGTGTGTGTTCTTGTGTCAGTCGTGTAAGTCGGCTCGTAATTCGAATACCTCAGTTCGTGCACGTCAATAATTTAACTACATCCATAAGTGCAAATAGCAAAAGAAAACAAAGCAAAATAAACCTAAGAAGCAAATGTAGATCTAGATCTATTTACGCTCTCAATTTAATTATCAGGTCAATAATTCAAAATGAAATTCAAAACAAACATCTACAAACATCTCAAATATTTAAGCGATAACTAGGATTACACTTAGAGTAAGTTTGAACAATATTCGTTACTGCTGTCACTTTTTAATTGGACAATAAACACTACTTATTTGAAATACTTATGATTTTTATTTATTTTACAAATACAAATAAATGGTAATTAAAAACTTTACGAAATAGAGGTGGATATTATTAATTTACAATATTTAATTTCGGAAAATAGTTGGGAGCAGTTATTTTACGATACGATATTTGCATATTATATACAATAACAGCACAAACATCACCGAAAATCACCTTACTAAACCAACTCGATCGACGTTACTACCTTTCAGAAGCTTCTTTTTATACGGTTGTCTTTCTGAGAACATGTTGCGCCTTTTGTACCTAAATCACAGTTTCATTTGTTTTTATTATGCCGCTTTGGTATGTGGGATCCATGTTGCATTTTATAATGACAGTTCGTTAAAGATTGATGAGAATATTTCAAAAATTTATGTTTTTTTTTCTTCTACAGAGTCCACTTTATTTGAAAAAGTATGCTGCGGTTAAGAGACATCATAGCTTATCGCCTCGGAATGTAAGTTATTTTATTTGAGTTATATTTTGTAAGTTTTAAGAGACCACATATCAAAAAGACCATACTCACCATAGTGTGGCTTGATGAACTCAACTCTTGATTGATTTTTTTATAGAATAAGTGTGACAAACGCACATAGTCCACCTCAAGTCTAACTCATAAATGGATGCTGTGGTCCATAGAAATCTACATTTATTCTCGATTAAGAATCAAAACGCAGATGCGTTATCACCCCTGAGGACAAGGGTCTGTGGATCTCTATACTCACCATACGAAACACTATTATTAAGCTGCTATTTTACGCTGGTATTCTGTATCAGCGTGGTTCTTCCCCGTCGAGCCAACCCATTCGTGCTACAACCATAATGTAGCTGAAGCGTGGCTCTACCACGTATGAAAATTACCGATACCCTAACAATGGTAATGTTTATATCCATTATCAGTCTTTGGATTCAGCGTTTTTAAATGTAATCAGTTGTACTATAATACTAAATCGTTAGTTGTTCATCTATTGAGATATAGTTAGCGTGTAATACAGCCAACTCAAAATAAGCAAAACTACGAGGAAAGGTAGCGGCCACAATTTTTTTAAATTATATACGACGTAATAACGGCTGACTTTTATTTTTTCATACAAACGCTGAAAAAGCCTGTTGATTCAACGCAAGTACGGCCATTGTCTCCTAAAAATACAAAAGTCCAAGATGATTACATGAACATGAAGACAGGTAATACATAAAACAGTAAATTTTTCGTAGACTTTAATGCGTAAACGCGTGCGTAAGCTTGCTTTATTCACCATTTTTCTGTATTCATTTCTATGCCACTAGAGGTTGCCTTACGTTAGCTTATGTACTGTCGTGGCTGTATTCTGTATGTCAAGTCTTTTTTTTAACATTATTTAAAAAGAACATGTTTTGAGTGATTGACTCATTTATCAACGGGCTGTGGCCAAATCGCTAGACGAAGAAATCTGAAATTTAAACAGTAATTGCCTTTTATGATGTAGACATCCACTAAGAAAGGATTTTGAAAAATTCAACCCATAAAAGGGAGAAATGGGGTGCTAAAGTTTGCATGAAACTTTTTATTTTACTGGGCGATGGACTATTTTAATTTTTTTCTAAAATTTATCCTTAAACTTTTAAAAAAAGGATGCAAAGTTTGTAAGGAAAATATTATATTAAGACAGCCTAAATTACTGGATATAGAAGGGTGAAATCATGACAATACAATTATTTCATTACGTAGGCATCTACTGAGAAAGGGTTTTAGAAAATTTAATAACTAATAGTTAAAAATATAGTGTTACAGTTTTTATGAATGTTTTTATTTTACGGATCGATTAACTCGAAACTTACTGAAAGTAATGGTTTCTTATATATACGCGAATACTACAAATTTAATAAAACTATTTTTACTTATTCTATTGCGCTTAATTTACTTATTTTTAATTCCCGATGTTTCGGGTTTATTACATCTATGATCAGTCATATTCGTAAAAATAGTTTATTCTTACTTAAAGTAGAAAACATTGGGCTAAAAGCAGTAAAAATATTATATAATAATAATATATTAATTAATTAAAATAAAATAAAAATAAATACAAGAGTTGACGACAGTTAAGAAAAGTAGGATAAGTTCAAGAAAGGATAGGATGTATGACGTGAAATAGTAATAAGTTTTGAAGTAAAAAAGAGATTGAGGGATTATGTAGAGGCGTTATAGTACTATTATTTATTCTGTGGTAGAGGCACACAACTAACTATGTACATAACTAACTATGTAGGCCTTATTTTAAAATGTTGTATCATACAATTTCGCTTACCAACATATATCATGTTTTGTTCGTGTTTAACATAAAGTATCTTTTACACCAGTTTTTCATTGTTTGCCTTCAATAATTGTATCTTGATTCTCAGACAAAGACTTATCGATGCCACAGTGTGTCCTTACGAAAACGATGCGGGCACTGACAACGAAAAAAAGAGAGTTTATTAAGTTACGAAAGAATCTTATATCGCAACAGGTTAGTGCATATGAAAGAAAATAATTGTTTCTTTTTTAAATCATTGATTGTAGAGCTTAATATCATTTTAGAATTTATTATTGGAAACTTATGCATCATTAAAAGAACTCGAAACAAAAGTAGGAGTCACTGATGACAGTTTGGGAGATATTCGTTTGTTATCAGTTTCCAATTGGCCAGCACACGACCTACTGCTACTCGTGAGGAATGATTTAGCAACACGTCAAAATTTAGACATAAGGGATGGTTTTGGTAAGTGTTCGCTTGTTGTATATACGAATATCTACTTATGTTTACGCAGTCGCCACAAACAGTACTAATAACCAAGGCTTGACAGAGTCACCTTTCGCGATTTTTGGTTATATCATGAGCTAACAAAGATTCCTCGGGAAACTCAAAGTTGAAATAATCTGGATATTTACCTATACATAAAATACGCGTAAAAATGGAGCATACAACTGGAGATAAAATGGAGTTGAACTGCGTACGAACCGTGTCAAATTAACTTATCCTTCTCCTCATCGGGTCGTGAACAATCTACCGTTGGACATGGCCTTTCCACAGTAGAAATGATTTAGGGCTATTGTCACTATTTCATATATAATAGTCACAGTTTAAAGAGAGTAAAATAGTTTGTACATGGAATTATTACCGTTAGTTATAATCTTTATTAACAGTCCTATCATTTATCTGGCCAGTTTTAACCTTGGCAACAATTCACGGATATTGTTAGTAAAAATATATTTAATGAAATTGATGTGATATATTTTTTGATGGGGATAGTTACGAACCTTGATATAAAAGCACTAATAATGTACATAACTGGAAGATGTATTTTATCTAAATACTCGGGTTCTTTTATAAGTTTCAATATGAGTAGAAAATGATAATAATTGTAGATTTTGTTGTGAAATTAATCAACGTTGTTGTTTTAAAGCACCTCAAGTGCTACAACAGCTGTACGCGCAGTTGAAACTGATTTCTGAAGAGGTATTGACCGCAAATACGGAGATAATTGCGCGACGAAATGAAATTTTAAATCTTATGCGTTCTAAGTATCGTGCTGATCGATCTACTTACCTGACAGTTAGTATCTATCACCTTTTTTGTTTTTAATCCCGACGAAAAAGTTTTATAAGTTTGACCATTGTGTGCCTAGCTGTGGCACTGTAGCTCATAAACGGATGAACTGATTTGTGTGCAGTTTTTTTTTTAAAATTTAAAAGCAGTTTTTCTAGCAGTGGTTCTTAAATATGTTTTATCAAAATCGTTTCAGGCGTTTGAAAAAGCTTTTATGTTTCAGAGGGTTTTCGAATTTTTAATTTAGGTTACGTATTAAAGTGATAAATAATATTGTAAACTAATATGTTAACGTATTGCTTTGTAGAATCTAGAATGGAAAAATAAAAATTTGGAATTCGATGAGCAAACTGAGAGAATAAATAAAATGGCAACTGACTTAGCACAGAATTTGGAGGTGAAAATAAATCAAGCGCTTGAATTGGCAAAGTAATTCTTTAAACAGAAGTAATTTTGTAATTGTTACTCTGTTGCTAAGCTTTTAATTGTTCTTTAAAAATATTACAGAATACCATGGGTTGATCGAGAAGCGTTAGTTAATAAAGTAGAACGCTTGCAGAATGAAAATTCAATTTTGCAACAGAAAATAGAAGATATTTCAAAACAAAATAGCGAAGATTGCAACGAAGAGACAATGATAGCGGCTTCAAAATATGAGGTCTAAATAATTTTACTTTTTGTCAATGCTAATAAATAATAGTAACGATTAATTTAATGACGATTTTTTCAATGTTATTGAAAAAATATGATTTTTTAATGTTGTAGTTTATCTCCTAATGTTTTATATCAATAATTTCATGCGTCTTTCATATGCACCGTGCTTATTGCTGAGACTACAGTATTATTTAAATGAATGGCTCCGCATTATTTCGACCGCAAAATTCAAGTCAACTATACTACTTAGTAGTACTATTATTTATTCTGTGACTATACTAATGTTAAACACTCGCTACCCGCGGTGCATAAATCCGATGCGCTAGGGACAGACGCGTGCGATGTGTGATGTGACTTATCGATAACCACTTAATTACGTTTAGGGGGTATAAATACCTGTTTAAATAAGTTTCCATAGTCATTAGACATTTAGACGTTATTAATTTAACCTAAAATGACATGGACGCATTTTTGTAAAACAATATTAACATACACAGCCAAATATTGAAAATGTAACTGTGGAAAATTGTCGAAAATGTGTTTTACACTTTTTCGTTATATACATACTACATATAGGTCACGATAGCAGCGCTTTACTATGCTTGCCGTAAAGCCCGTAAATTCGAAAGAGAGCGCAACAGGCGGCGTCCTATTTCCCCGTTTTATTGCACCGTTAGTACGTGACCAAAACAATTACGAGGGCGACACCACGGTAATATTATCTATACAGTATTGTAACTCGGCCGTATCTTTCAAATAAATGCCTACAGCAGTGCGGCACGTAAACATGCGTTAGGGCTACCTGCCTCCAGCATCTTTACATTTGCCTACTTTGTGTTTCCATTTAGTTTTATGATTGTAAATATACTTTTTATATAAACAAATAAAATAGGTACTTTGTGAACTGAATAGGAAGTGTTCGATAAAAATGCGTGTCGTTTTTTGATTGGTAGATTTAATTAAAATAAAAGCGGCCACGAGCGTGTCGGGCCACGCTCAGTGTAGGGTTCCGTAGTTTCCCGTCCGTCACAATAAGTGTTCCCACTTATAAGTTTAAAGGTGGGTATCCATTATGTACGCGCTCCAGCAGCGCTCCGCGCTCCTGCAACTGCTCCCGGTAGTGGGTACTGCTGTTTCCATCCAAGTTCAAAATGATTTTCTTCAAATGATTTCCTTATAAAGTTCTACTTTTCGGATTTTTTTCATATTTTCTAAACTTATGGTTCAAAAGTTAGAGGGGGGGACACATTGTTTTTTACTTTTGGAGTGATTATTTCCGAAATTATTGACATTATCAAAAAATGATTTTAGTAAACCCCTATTCATTTTTAAATACCTTTCCAACAATATGTCACACGCTAGGGTTGAAATTAAAAAAAAATCACTTCCCACTTTACATATAGGGGGGCTACCCTAATAAAACATTTTTTCCAATTTTTATTTTACCACTTTGTCGGCGTGATTGATACACATATTGGTACCAAATTTCATCTTTCTAGTGCTAACGGTCACAGAGATTAAGCGAGGACGGACAGACGGACAGACAGACATGGCGAAACTATAAGGGTTCCTAGTTGACTACGGAACCCTAAAAAATCCATGTTTATGTTTGAATTACAAATCGGTTAAATAAATTTGCGACCGAAAAATATTTGCGCCTCGGCTGAGACTTACGAAATGCTTTATTATTAGATTTTTAAATATAAAAAATCCGCTTTCTAATATAAAGCTAAAAATAATATAAATTAAAAATTGTTTTGGGAAACATGGACAACGTGGAGAAAAGGAACATCTATTAATTGCTTATAGATACCTGCAGCTACTTTACAATTTATATGTTTGTTTTTAAATGAAGTTCAGATTTATTATTTCTTTATTTCTATTCTATTATTTATTTCCTCCATTTTTTCATATATTTCACAAAATCATGACTGCGGCACAGTCTCGACTGTCTGCATGCCGAGCGCATGCCGAGATCGAGGCGCGTAGGTATAGCTCTCGCTTCGTCCGTTTGTATGAAGTTGGAATACTGTATAGATAATATTACCGTGGCGACACTGAAAGTTTTTAGAACTGGCCACTTGTAAACGACGTAATAAAAAAAGAGTACAAATTTTGAAAATGGAACTCTTTGCCATTATTATCGTGTATGTATTTTATTATTTTGTCATTTGTTTACGATTTGGCGGCAAATTGAAAATTGTCTGTGTCACGTCAGCATGAATTTAACGCGAGAAAATTTTCGTACTATATTTTTTATGACTATAGACGTCATTTAAGTCAACAAGAAAGTTATGATGGAATGCGTTTGGCATTTACGATGCAGCCCCATCTCGTGCCACTGTTTACAACTGGTTTAATGAGTTTAAACGTGGTCGCAATAATCTCAACGATGATCTGCTTGGGGAACGGCTACGGTGACGACTGAAGATAACATCAGTGTTGTGCGGCGTATGATAGAGACTAACAAAAGAGAGACTTATCAGCAGATTCGGCCAAGCCTAGGCATTGTTATGAGTCAAGTGCACAAAATCATCGTCATGAATCGTCATGAAAATTTAGCGGCCAGGAAGCTTTGTGCCCGGTGGATACCTGATAATTTAGCAGAGGCCCAAAAACTCCGTCGTTTTGATTGGTGTCGTTGAAATGGTTCAAAGATTTGACAGAGGTGACTCAAATGCTGTGTTCGACATACTTACGGGTGACAAAAACTGGATTTATTGTTATGATCCTGAAACTAAGAGACAGTCTGCTGTCTGGGTGTTTCATTCCGAGGAGTTGCCAACTAAAGTGAAGAAAGTTCGAAGCGTGGGAAAAAAGATAAGGAACAATGCCTCGTCGCACATCGTCAAGCAAACAGTCGATTACTTGGCGACGTCAAACGTGAAATTACTGGGTCACCCGCCCTATAGCCCCGATCTTGCGATTTTTATTTATTTCCTAAAATAAAAGAAAAACTTCGAGGACGCCGAGGACGCAGTGGCTGCGTTTCAAAATGCCGTCGAAGAGACCCCTAAGGACGAGTGGGCAAAGTGCTTTTCTCAGTGGTTCCATCGGATGCAGCGATATATTGATGGTAAATCGATACTATTTTGAAAAGATATAATAAAATTAATAACTTGCTAGTTTGTTCAGTTTTTGATTTTCTAAGAACTTTCAATGTCACCCTTCCGGCGTCATTAAACTAGGTAGCCAGGAACGGTGATTAGTCACTAGAAGGAGCGCGGGGATAAAGGCAGGGTGCGGGCGCCGAAGCCTCATTCCTATCATGCGCCTAATTGTTTTTGCCAAGTTGTAGTATAGTTTATCATTATTATTGTTTCCGTGGTATTAACACGGCAACATGTTATGCCTGGAAAAATTAGCGATTCTAAGATATAGTGTGTATAAGAATTAAAACCCCCACTAGAGAAGCTATTTTCTTTTTTTCTTCTTTTTATATGGGGTATCCCTGAAGAAGTTACAGCCTATATACGTCCCACTGCTGGACACAGGCCTCCCTTTATTTCTGAGAGGGTTTTAGAGCAAGGAGGTGTCCGCCTCGCAGCCCCAATGCGTATTGGCGAACTTCACGTCTTCGAAATTTTTTTTCTTATTTCACAGACTTGCAGGTTTCCTCACGATATTTTCCTTCACCGCCCAGCAAATGGTAAATCAGCACTTTAAATTGCAATTAACAATTCTTTTAACGAATTCATTGGTGTCGGCGGGGATTGAACCCGGGTTACTCGCGTTCTGTTATATTTACAACGAGCGTTAATCATCTGAGCTACCACAGCTCTATTTATCCCTGAAGTATAACTTAATTTATAAATATTCATTCCAATTGCTTCACAATTCACGAGTGTATATACAAAAAAAAAAAACAGTAGAATTGGGAACCCCCTCCTTTTTTGAAGTCAGCTAAAAAGGTTGGTGATGTAAACAAATTCATTAATTAATCATCCATTTTTGCCCATCAAAATATAATTAATTTAATTACATATAATTCACTTAAATCAGTAGTACTGCGTGGGAAATAATGAAAGACGCACGGTAGCAATGTAGCGGATATTTTCGCTCCATTTCACTGCCTAAAAGGAGGCTTGTAACCAGCAGTAAGACGTTTAACCTTTACCTTGTAAAAGCTACCTACCCTCAGTCTCATTTCCACAACAGGGTGATGGTAATTATAATACACTCTTTTAAAAAGAAATAAGCTTGTTTCTTGAAAGTCTCTAAGTCGTATTGCCGGTGATAGAGGAATCCACAAAAAGACTTCTGAGGAAGAAACCTCCTCTCCTCATAATAAGTAGCATAGTGGTGGACCGCTACACATCCAGATGGTGTGGATACCATGACTTTTGTCCCGATATGCGTTGGTGGAATTTGGTGGCTGAAATTAATCCGAAAAATGTCTCTGAGCACTCTACGTGGTAAATACAATAGAAGATGCAAAGGGATGCAACAGCTTTTCGCAACGCAAGTAAATCGAGCCGACCAGGAAGACCCCGCTCTGCACTGTATTCAGTGCGGAGCGGGTCAAGTGGAAGAAGCTGGCACTGGGGAGCCCCGGCCCAGAGATGAGAACAGTATTCCATGTGCGGCCGAACCTGCGCCTTGTAAAGTTGCAAGCAATGTTCAGACATGAAATATATTCGGTTGAGTCCACCAAGCTTTTTAGAGGCCAATTTAACCTTCCCTCCCAAAAGACTCGGAACTGTACGTCATTCGATATGTCAAAGCCGATGATTCCAATGCAACAAATAATTTAAATTCTTATTTTTTAATCTATTTATTAATTTTTTTACCAAAATTAAGAAAATGTTAACAAGTTAAATGCTTACGGCACTTACTGTATTTTTAATTGAGAATATTGTACCAAATTTTATAGTGTACTTAATTTTATAAGTGTACACTGTGTACAATACCAAATTTTATAAGTGGCGCTTGCCAAGGCAAGCTCAATGACCTTTAGGACCTTGCACCCTAGACTTCCACCTGATTAGCCTGTGGGTAAATCAGGCCCTGCCAACATAGAAAAATAAGCTATTTCCAAAGAATCAATAGGTTTCCCGCTGAAGTACTAACTTGGCTCATATGGAAATATGACTATATTTAATCTAGACTATATTTGAAATATACCTTAGTCATGGTTATGCAACACCTCAGGCAGGCTGAGAGCCGTATTTACAGCTTCGCCACGATAGTTAGGAAGCGGTGTGCCTCCGGCCTGATCCGTTTGCGGAACAGCACCAACAATATCCTTGAGGTATTCGTTGATCGGTAGGACTTGCCACTTCTACAAGTATGGATGGGAGTTCACAAAGCAGCATAACAGCGTATATGTTGATGTGTGGATCTATTCCACGATTGTTTGAATTGTTCTTTTGTTTTTATAGTGTTTTAATTTAATTTTTTACTAACCCTAGCTATAAGTTAATTTGTTACTATCATTTATGGGCTCTGCCTCAAATATTAAATAAACAAATAAAATAAATTATAAATTGTTGTGGTGTCGAGTTGCATATAATGTGGTACAGCTTGGGTATTATGATAGTTAGTAAAACTTGATTTGCATGCTATTAAATAGCATGCAAATCAAGTTTTTCTACTATCATAATACCCAAGCTGTACCACAATCAATCAAAGACATGTTATATATACAAACGATTTCTTAGAATTTGTTGTTAGACACGTATGACCAAAATCAAATACAGTAATACATTTCAGGGTCTATCCGAAGAATTGACGAAAGAACGAACCGCAAAAGAAGCGCTAAAGGAAGTAGTGTCTGCAGCTGAAAGTATGCTCCGGGTCGCACGATCTCGCATTGCAACCTTGGAAAGACAACTCAAGGAAACGAAATTTGAACTTGAGACAGCGCGGCGCAAGCATAAAGAATTAGAACAACTAGTAAAACTCAATCACAGTCTAATATGCGACATTTCACCACATAAAGTTTTCTAAAATTAAGCCAAAATGTTGAAACTCTTATCAATCATTACTAAGTAAAGGGTAAAATAAAATTTATAAATACACAATTTCAACATTTTCGCTGTTATAAATTACATCCTAGCCTACATCAAATTTTCGAAGATTAATTTTGTCAATTCGGTTCGATATGAATCATTACAGCAACATTCAACGTCTAGGCTTTTGTTTCAAATTGCGCCCTTTGCCTACTAATATGCATACTATAATGTAATGATTAATTTCGAAGTGAATGGAAAAAATAATTTTATAAATTCAAAGCTTCAACAACGCAGATTTTGCAATCACAGTTCAAAAATGATATGATAAAGTTTATTGTTCTTTTATTATTTACTGACTTAGTGTTTAATTAAAAACACAACTCCCTAAACTAAGCCAAATTTAGAGTTTGTGTACTGTGTGTAGTTACACAAAATCTTATTACACGAAATTAATTCTTCATTTTTTTTTCATTAGTCCATCAAATTTTATAGCTCTTCTCAGACTTTTTCATAGATCATCATCATATGATTTGTATTTTTGCCAAGCTTGGGGAGAGTGGCAATTGCGCTAGTCGTTTCGCACCTTTGACGCCGCTCCTTCCCTGTCACCGGTCTGCGGCACAAGATGGTTAGACAGCCGTGTATCGAACGCCATAAGATATTTCTAGCTCAGTTTACTAACAATAAAATTTCATATTTAAGTAAAATATAAAATTATATAATTATAATTATTATTAACTGATTAAGTGTAATCGTTTTGTTAAAGTATCGCCACCGCGAGACGAGTTACGATACTCGGGCGAAGAAATTAATGGAAGTTTCTAAGACTGGAGAAATGACTATAGAGGCATTGTCGCAGCAGCGTGATGCCCTTGAACTGAGGTAGTTACTTTTTTAATTATTGTAGGTGTTTCTTATTTAACAATAATTTTAGGTAGAAATACCCTCCGCTCCTATAGTACTTTGTTAATTTATATAAACTAGTGGTCGCTTTATGGTTGAAATTCATTAAATTTTTAGGCTGAAATTCATTTAATTATTATTTCTTGGGTTATTTATCAAGAAGGCTGTATTTTACCTTTTTTGCCTTGGACATACGCTTCACACATTATTGAAAAAGGAACATTTGAAACCCATCAAAATTCGTGGCTTATTAAGTCAATCTTTCAATAATAATTATTTGTTGGCAACGTTTTAAATATGGAGTGTAAAAGTAAGGAGTACCATATCCCGTAGTAGAATAGTAGAAAAAGTGGTCAGCTGTAAGCAGTAAATAACAGTTCAAAAACTCTCCACAACAGCGCTGGAGTAGCTACTGGGTTGAATTATCTTAGCAGTTTCGCCGGTTTGAAGTGTGCTGCCTAAACTGCTCAGTAGCTCTAAAATCTAAAATAATTTTATTTAGTAAATATAACGTCGAAAAAGTCGTCTATCTCACTAATATTTTTCGGTGCGTTCTTTAAAATTTACCCCGTAGCTATATAGTGGCGCCACCTTATTTAAAGGTTTTTATGTACACTTTCTAATACACAGTCTGTACGGTACTCCTTACTTCTACACTCCATAGTTTTAAAGTTCTTTGGTGATAATCTCTAGTCTGTGCAATTGTTTGATCACAGATAATGTATATTTTATTTTATGTATTTCATACCACTGCTCCTTGCGCGCAATTTGATTGAAAAGGGGTACAAAGATTTTCACGTATTTTGTAATAATCATTATAGATATGGACTTTGTTATTACTTACATTTGCTTTACTGTCCGAGTTTTTTTATTTTAATGTTCAGGAGAGAGAATTTCAGTGTTACCATTTTTTGTTAATAGCCAAATCAGATGAAAATACTATATAAATATCCCAAAACAATAATATTAAAATTTATCTTCCTTCTATAAATGGTCCCTGTACTATCTGTTTTCTGTTATCCCAAATTATATAAATAAGCATAATTCAAAATGCAGCGAGCTACTCGGACCATGCTTGGTAAAGAAAATATGGATTTAGGAGTAAAATAGTGAAAAAAAAATGATAGGCGACTAGCTCATCGATAATGTTTTTGTTTCATGTTGTGATATTTTAAGATTTTATAGATGGATTGATGTATGCCTGATTCTACTAATTTATTGATTATTAATCATGAAATGGTATTTATTGTTTCATAGATGGAAGATTATTGTTATATCATAACTGATATCGAAATTTTAGTTAGAGATACTCGTATAATTACTCAAAAAATAGTAAGTATTTGATTACTAAACTTCAGTTACGCAGGTGGCTAATGGGAACCTGACACCGACATAGCAACACTAATATAATTTTGAACAGGGAGATGCCGCACGTTCCCTCTGTCGCCTCCTACGAAACCTACGGGATGATATGGGGTAATGGTTTCTTACGCCGATACAACACGGCGACATTACGGACAGTTTAGTGCACAAGCGTACATTCTTGTTTTTAATATAAACGCCCTAGTGTAGATGTACGTTACATAAGTAAAACTAAACTCGTGTCACATTCGTGGTACGAAATAGTTGTCACGTAGCGAAACAGCAGCCCCGTTGAAATTCCAAAGCGTGGCTGCAGGTTGTACCATTTTAGATAGTAAAACTCGAGGATTATATGATTTTGGAACTAATATCAAACGTTGTTTTATATTAAAAATATCGTTCGATTTTAGTTCCAAATATAAAAATTATTGGTTGACTTAAACTGTCATTATGAGTCCAGATTTTACATTCAAAAACAACATTCAAACAAATCATTAAATCAATTGATTTGCTCAAAAACGGTAGGCAATTATAAGTTGACAACGTTTTGTTTACTTATTCTATTTCTTTGGAACTAAAGTTTATCTTTAGTCAAAATAATAATAAGCGTCGCTAAATTGTAGAAAGTTCATAGATTAAAAATGATTTTTCACACTCTTGAGTTACAAGATTAGGCTTTCAAAATACACCTTATTTTAATTTCAGATTTCAGATTTTTACTCTACTTCATTTTCCATTCTATTATTTAATTTAGATCTGATTTTTTAGCTTTGATTTTATGAAGAGGATTATATATGTTTTTACTAATTAGTACAGTTTTCAATTTTTATTTCATCAGTTTTTTATGTTAAAAAATGCCTTTAAGGAATTTCTACTACATTTTATCGCCCGTTCATTGTATTTCTGTAATTTAAGAACATGTCAGACGTCAATTTATACAATAAAAATGGGAATAATATTTGTGTTATAGGGTTAAAGAATTACGGGAGCAAGCTGAAGCAGCCGAGAAGGCAGCAGCAGATCGTGAAGATGAACAACGAGCGCGCGTTGATTACCTACAGGCGAAGGTAGCCGAAAAGGTGCCATAACCTTATTCCAAAGCTAGTTAGTTTAATAAGCGGTTAACACATTTCTACGGCTAAGCGACACAGGAGTGCTTATTTAGTAATGACGAGCTATATATAGGCCTCTATCTGCCCTCTAGCTCTACTTCCTGACGTTCTATACTTTTGTCCTATGAGGATAATGAGTCAGTTCTACTGAGCTTTTTAAGAATGGGACAGTGGGGTTCGGCTGCGTACGTCAGGTGGTGATTAATCCAATGTTTTATCGCATGGCGTAGTCGCTCGCTACATAAGTGAGGAGCGGTTGCGTCAGCGAGTTGTATAAATAGCAGCTGTCAGCCACTGCAGAATCTACTTCATCTGAGGTTGCCTCGTTTAGAGGCGAAACACGTGTCGTATTATCGACGGTGGTGTTTTTTTTAGTGTAGTGGTGTTGGGAGTAGTGATTTTGGGAGTAGTGGTGTTGGGAGTAATGGTGTTGGGAGTGGTGGTGCTGGGATTAGTGGTGACGAGGATAGTGCACGCAATTGAGGGAGGGCGAGAGGTGCTCTTCAAACTAAGTACGACACATTATTTCATTTTGTTATGCAGATCTTAACTATTTCATTTTTTTACATTTTTCATATAATGGATTTCCGTATACTAACGCCTGGTTCTATTAACTAGTATGTAGATATTTTAACACTTATAATAATAACAAAGCGCGTTAAAAATGTTTCATTCCTAGGAAAAAGTTAAGGCAGAAGCCGAGTTGCATGTAGATGAACTCAGATGTCGAATCAAAGAACTAGAAGACGAGTTGTTAGTGCTACGAGAACGATGTGCGCGGCTCGTGGATATCGAGAAACAGCATTGTCTGGATTATTTACCTGCTAAAGGTAAGCGTAGACTAAAGGGGACTAGTTTCTCTATCATAAAACTAACTTAAGTTTAGAAAAACAATCGTGCATCAAGTACGCAAAAATTATTTTCTCTAAAATGTGTTTAAAACTCCTCAAATTACATTTAGCGTACATTTCCTACATAGCATAATCGTGCCAAAAATCTTCTCCCTGGTATATCCACCACCTTTATTTCGGAATATGAACGATTACAAGAGTACATTTTTTTAAATTCAAAAGCACATTAATGTACTGGTTTCATGAAGATATACCAATAAAAATTAACGAATCTAACTTAGTAGTGCCAGAAATCACTACACCAAGACCTGTGAAAGATAAAAAGGAACCAAAGCTGTAAAGAAATAAAACTAAAAAAAAATATCACGCCATTATTAAAATTAACTTCTATCACGTATTAAAGTATTACTTCACGGAAAAACTTAAAATAGTTTTTTTTTGGTTAATTTTCAGTGTCAAAGAAGTATCAAATAAATTGTACCCTCTTTCATAAATATCGGTAATCCTATGCCTTTAAACGAGCAATTCTTGTATGTGTATGTGTATATGTGGGTTTCGGGGGAATAAATCGATCTAGCGAGGATTCATTTTTAGAAAATGTCGTTTCATCCGTGTTTTCAGGCAATGAAAAACTGCTAGAATATCATTAGATAGCATAGATCACAAGAAAAAATATTATTCATATTTCATCAGTATGTAATTCGTATCTAAATATATCGTCATCAGGTCATCCAGGTACTTTTTTTATAATACTGATATTTGTCTAGAAAACGAGCCATCGGATCGTGAGACTGAAATTTGGAAAGAGCTTCAAATAACACGAGCCGCACTGACAAGAGTTGAAGATGAACTGCGCCAGAGCCGCGCTGATAAAGACAGTTTTTTAAATTCGCTGTCGAGAATTGCAGTAAGTGCACCTTTATACCTACTTCTGAAGGAGATAGAGAGTCAGTATAATTATTTTAGGCAGGATCTCGGTTCTCAGTGGGGACAACGAATATGTAGTTTTGTTTTACGTTGCAGTCTGCAGTAGTCACTAATCATTAGATGGGCTCAAAGTTCGTTTATCATTTCACTTTTATAAAAATAATTTACATGATTATAAATTAATTATATGTATATTTATTTTCAGCAAGAGGAGGGCGATAAAGAAGAAAAAATGGCCACCGAGTTGTTGGATAGGGAGCAAAAAATCTCAAGATTGCAACTTTTAATAGAAGAACAGCGGGAAAACGAAAAAATAATGTTAGTGAAAAGTTAATTATTTAAGTTAATTGCGCGATATGCGCCGCGATATTACGTTAAGGGAAAAGGAAATCTATCACCAACATTTCCTCATGTGGGTGTTAAAAGAGTAAATAAGAGGTAACTATATGACGTATCAATAAGATCTAATGGCTATCGATAAATATCGGTAGTATCGATCGATACGTGATCAGAGAACTTAATCCTTTGGAATTCCCCGACAACGAATTTCTACGCCGGTTTCGGATGCTCAAATATTGTAAGCAGTAAAATTTACGGGCTGATATAGAACAATAAGAGAGTGATATCATTTTAAAGCATTACTAATAATTTGTTATTATTATTATAGTACAGTGTATTTCGGATATAACGACGATAAAGGGACCACTCTAGTTTCGTCGTTATATCGGGAAGTCGTTACAGGCAAAGGTAAAGAGATACAGACACGTACACATGTATATAGTTTATATTTATTTATTATTGAAAATATTTGGATACATAGTTATTCACTGGTATATTTCAAAATGCTACTCAGAATATCACTTTGTAACTGAACCATAAATTTAACTCCGAAATATACACACTTCCCTATCTACTAAGCTGATATCTATAAACAAAAGGTAAAGGTCTTCACACTTGCTGATCATCTGTGTGAATGTAAACAAAAGATAAGAAATCTTTGTGTCTTTGGCGACCGTCTCCGGTCGCAATATCTGCATGGGATTTCTAGGAGTTTGTTACAAATGATTCATTAAAAACAGTCGCTACACCCGAACTCGGCGTTACATCCAAAGTCGCTATAGCCACATGAATTTTGTACTAAAGTATGCTTTAAATTCAAGGGACTTAGATTTAACGTTGCTATATGTAAATAGTCGTTACAACCAAGGTCGTAATAAATGAAATCCACTGTATTTATATTATATAGTAAGTGAAGTGTGCTACCACCACCACCACTGCCACTGCCATCGTGGAAGACGTGACGTGCCATAAGAAACGACAGAGGGAAATGAAACACGAGAGAGGGCAACATTTTCCTAATAGTAGCTCAAAATAATAAAAACTAAGAAAAATTTCGTCTCATTGCGGCAATCTATGGGGAGACCTATCTTAAGCAATGGACTTTTGATCGGTGATAATGAACGGAAATTATATAATTAAAAACTCCTCTGTGATTTGAAACAAGGATAAAAAGTAGACTTATCCATTTAAGAGTACAGATGGCGCTTATTTGTTAAAATGGCCATTTTGTATAATTTCGGGAATCTCGAAGCAAATAGTAGTAGTCCGCGAAATTCTCAAATATATTAAATCTAATACTCAAGTATAGCAAAAGCAAGTAAGTTAACCTAAAATGAATACAATAAGACATATTGTCCTCCAGACCGAATTTCGGCCACGGCGGCCTGCCTCAACGGAGGCTAGTCATCGGCATAGGACAGGATTATAGTGCCCAAGTGTATGCGCAAGCACGGGTGCTCTCTCTATTCCCTCACTCTCATAGACCGATGGGACGGTAAACCGACACGACCGGAGAGAGATCAGGCGCAGGACCAAAGGCTTTACGTGCTTTCCGAGGCACGGGGGTGAGACACCGCCAACTTCCTGACTCCGGGCAGCTACTAAGAATTTCTTGACAGAAAAACTCAATAATTGATTTTTTGACCCGACCCGGGATTCAAACCCAGGACCTCATGATCAGCAGTCGCACTAATACAACCACTAGACCAACGAGGCAGCAATAAGACACAAATAAGACATAAAAAACATACTCGTTTACTGCACTCGGGTATATATTTATATACATAGTAATAAATTCGACAAACATGATGATGGACGTGTGTTGATTCGGTTGTTTGTATTTTATCAGTTTTAATCAAGTATGTCCTAATATCAATGATAGGGAGCAAGGCATGACCGATTACGAAAACCAATTGGCAGCTTTACGGCTTGAGGTGAAACGTTTGAAGAATTACGACTTCTACGCCCGTGACACTCCTTATCAGGATCTTCAAACTGAGGTGTGTTCTTTGATTAACACTAACTATGAGATTTGTAAAAAAGTAAAAAGTCTATTTACACCTTTTAATATGAATTTCGATTTCTAATTGTTATTGGGATGTCCTCATTATATACAATTTTAAAGGATTATTATGTAGTATTTCAGTATCATCTTCAATTGCTCTTACAAGCACTCTTATGTTCAGCAGTGGACTTGTGAAGGGCTGCAATGATAATGATGATGCTCTCTTGAAACTGAATAATTTAGCGAGATATGAAATTGAACGCATTCGATTATATTGTTTTTACCTACAATTTTTTTTACAAAATTGCCGTTTTTTATGAAATAAGTTAACGAAACTTTTTGTATATATTTTTTATTTCTATTATTCAAAGTAATTACGATGTAACCGATGCATCTTTGCCAACGCAGTGGCAGTTTATTGATGCCCTTCTTGAAGAAATCAATTGGACTGGAGGCAACAATTTCTTCAAAGGAATTTTGTACTGCCTCTCTGGTATTGATTCTTTTTCCCGCTAAAAATTTATCCAGATTCTGGAAAAAATAGAAGTCTGTAGGTGCAAGGTCTGGTGAGTACGGCGGATGACGGAGAGTTTCTAACCCCACCTCTTGTAACTTGGGGACCGTCTCTTGTGCAGTATGAGGTCGCGCGTTGTTGTGCAGTATCAGCGGGGACGAGCGATTGACCAAAGCTGGTTGGAGACGTGCCAGCTTCTCCATCATCGTGTAAAAATTTTTACAGTAAACATCTACAGTAATGTGCAACCCGTTTGGTAAGAAGCTGTGATAAATCGCACCGGGGCTAGATCACCAAACAGTGACCATCACTTTATTAGTGGCAAGTTTTCGTTTAAGTCATTGTTTAAGTGCTGAACTAGGATCCAACCAACTTGTTGATTGCTTGCGAGAATCCATTTTTTGTCGCAGTTCAAAATTTCTACGTTTGTGTGCCTGTTGTGCAGTGCAAGGCACATATTGACGCGTACGATACGCTGGCGATCATTGAGTTCGTGGGACATCCATTTGTCAAGCTTTTTTACCTTGCCAACTCGACGCAAATGGACCAATATTGATTTGATGTTGTTCAAAAGCTGCTGCTAATTCAGCCGTAGATTGAGTATCATCAGCTTCCACAATCGCCTTTAATTCGTCATTATCGACCAAAGTTAGGACGACCACGGGGTGAATTTTTCAGGTCAAAAGGTTCGCTTGTAGAGTTGTCACGTGTTGTGTTGATTTTAAAAAAAAATCTCTTGATAATAATATGCCGTCGTGTGTACTTAGAATTTGCACAAATAATTCAAGAAATATCAGTAAAAACTAAGGAATTACTTGTCATCGGTTAATAAGATACTTAATCAATAAAAATGTATTATAGATTAACAATAAAACCAATTATTCCTAAGACGCCATCTCGTGTCATGGAATATAGATTGTGAAATTAAGATGTTCAGATGCAACATTTCTGTGGGTACTTATGTATAGGACGAATACATTATACACATTTTTTTGTAGAAACATATGTAAGTTATTATAATTAGGCTAAATTTTTCATATCTAATATGTTTATTATTATATATTAAATAATTTTATTTTTATTAGTTTATTTTTATATTTTATTTTATTTTTAGGTTTTCACATCAAAATCAAAGTGGAATAAATTCGTCCATTTTTAGCTCTCGCGTGCCCAGCATTTATGAACGACTCTTATTCTAATTTAAATAAATATATTTGCAATTTAAATGTTATGTATAAGTTTTGCTAAACATACATTTAGTATGTTTTTTTTTATATTTCACATAGAACACCTTTTAGAATATTCAGATAAAAATATCATTAAAATGTAATTGTGATACAATATTATGTAATATTATATTAAATAAGCAAATACAATATACAAAATAAATGACAAAATTTTAGTATTGTTCTCGATAAAATTTTCCTATTCAATAGAATCTACGGTTACCTACTGATCATTCTACCTACGTTTATTCTATGATAAAAAAAACCAACCGCGCGAACACAGAGTAGCGCACATTTTTTGTTTGAAATAGCTGTTCTAGGACGTAAGTACATATTACTTCAATGGTTTTTAACGTATCCATGATGACGAAATAATTTCAATAAACATAACAAATGACTAATTTTGAAAAAAAAAAAAACTATACCATGTTTTTAAAATAATATTAATTTGAAATGGCCAGTACTGCAGAACGCGATTTAATAGGTAAAGCTGTGCAGCAACCATTGACTTATATATATTACTAGCGTAAGGACCGGGCCGACCGAACAACTAAAACGGACCAGTGCGCTGGCCCTAAAATTACAGTTTAGGGCCACAGATTTGCCTGGCATAAATATGTCTAATTGCATGGTAAATGGATGCAAAAATTACGATGCAAAGATTAAAAAGGAAATGAGATATCGTATCATCGGTAAATAAACTTATATTAATTTTGTTACAATAAAATTATTATATAAACGCATTTTTAAAGTTTTATTTTACAGTTAGCTTAGTTACGTTACCAAGATTAGGCCAGGGTTGGATGCAGACCCTCAAAAATATTGTACATGGAAAATAAAATTATACTGTTTTTAAAAAATTGTATCACGTTTGACGTTTCATGTTTCTTTTTTTCCATGTGCCGGGATTTTTGCGTCATGCGTCTAGTTTGTCTATACGTTTCGTTTCTTAACGGTTTTATTTTTATTTCTGTTTAATTTTTGTCTAAATAACTTAGTATACGTTCAATTTTGGATATTGGTACCTAATATATTTTATATTCAATAAGGAAAAAACGAAAAGGGTACAAAAGGAACCATATCTGCTTAATTGAATCTGAAACTCTGATTCATAAAATATTTTGAAATTCTGTTTTCAATCCGATTGCTTCTGGAGCACAGTTTTTATCGTGGTAGCCCCTCATTATAGTTGTATCAAGGATGCAACATAAATGCATCGATCGAGCACCGATTGACCAGAAAGGGAGCTAATTCTAATGTAATTAAAAAAACACGGTACTCATGTACCGTATATACAGAAATTCTCGATATCGTAGAGTTAATATTGAAAACTAAAAGGACCCAATAGTAATACAAGTTGACCTTAAGGTAAAATTATGGTATTTTCGCTTAGTATTATTACGTTATTATATACTACAAACTATAAAATAATGATACAATTAGGATAATTATATTACTAAATCCGACCCTGGTTACGTCGTGTTATGATATGACGTTTGTATTATGACAGATGCGCTACTTTTTCTTGTATGAAAAACTTATGAGTAAAATATTTAGATGGGCCTATCCTTCCTTTTGAAATCATTGGCAGCAACCTAATAATAGGATGTGTAACTTTTATCGCAAAATGGCAAATGTCAGAGAAAAAAAAACTATTAGCCATTTTTATTCTAGCTGACATTTATGTCTTCTTTATTAAACGTGGCGTTACCTTACCTTAAAAAGTCAATAATGTACCTTTATTAGTCATAATGTACATAATCGCATTTTATTTTGCCTCTGTGGTATTGTAACACGGGTTACGATGTCATACTTTCCTCCCGTTGTGCGTATAGGTACTTTTTTATCATACCTTGATTGAAATGAATGTACCTTAAAATGTATCATAACATACACTTCTGACGTTTGTAAACAATAAGGCTGGAAGTTTGATGCAATTTTGACACTAAATTAATAAGTCATTGAATCGGGAGGGAATCTGGCACTTTCGCCCCTAAAAGTAGGGTCGAAATAAGAACTTTTGATCAAGGTATAATATTTTTTTAATTTTACCGCTTGTTCATCAAACTATTTGAAGCTCACTGTCCAATAAAAGGAAAAACGTTGCTCCCTATCGCATGACTCCGTATTTTATACTAGATGATAAAACAACATAATGTATATTTTTCATTAATATTTGAAATTTTTAGTTGTTGGAAATGCAAATGCAAGTGGCAACACTGACGCGTGAACGATCAGCTTTGGTGACTGCGGCCGCATCGCGCGCCTTAATGCTGGAGAGACACGAGCGAGCTGCCGATTTGTTCGCCAAAGTTACCAGAGCACGCCGGGAGCTGACTGCACAACTTGAGACTCAGAGCACAAGGACAAATGAAGATACGAGTGTTGACGTATGTTATGCTGATGAGTTCACATGTTATATGCAACATTTAATATCGCTAACTAGCATAGCAGTTGCAGTTGACGATTGTCGTGACATTTATAAGGATCTACTCGTATGGGGGATCCGCTAATATACGCTGGAGTAGCGTGGCGCATTAATTACTCCATAAACTTGTCAGCAATGAGAGGAAGCCTGCGTCTAGTTCTTAGGTTAGCTTTAAATGTAGTAAATTCGTCTGTTATTCTAATTTCTTTAAACAAATCAAGTCCAGACGACTAAATATATATAATAGGATACTGAAGCCAAGTTACTGGTTTTTAGAAGTTTTGTCTCTCTATCTATCTATCTGTCTGTTTGTTCCGGCTAATCTCCGAAATGGCTGGCCCGATTTTGATGAGATTTTCACTAGAAGATAGCTTATGTTATATGGAGTAACTGAGGCAAATTTAAAATAACTAGGAATCCGCTCAAAAAAATCAAAACCCATGAGATCCAATCATAATAAATTCCATGCGGATGAAGTCGCGAGGAACAGCTAGTGTAAAATAAATGCTGAGACTTTTTCTAAAGAAATTCCTTGTAATGTAAGTCCCAAGTTCTTTAACTTATTAAAATCATTTCGTCAGGTAACACTGTCTTCTTTATGCGCAAATGCGGCAGACACGTGGTCGGCGTTGCAATCGGAGAGAGCCCGTGTGCTTCAGTTGGAGAGCGCAGTGCTGGCACAAAGCCTACAGCTGGAGAGAGAAGGTCGTGTGCGTACGCAACTGGAGAGACGCAGAGCTTTATTGGAGAGACAAATCATACGCGCTCATCACACACCCACCTCAGAATGTTCTTTGATGAGTAATCGAAGCTTGTTAATATAACGCCAAGAAGAAATAATGAAATAACTGATTGGGAATTGGCATACTTATCTCCTTTTTATAAGCTTTATTACAAATATACTCCAAATTCTATAATAAATTAAACGTGACTATTATGAAAATTACTTTGTGACTGAAATAAACACATTTCGAAATATTTTATTGTTTACTTTTTATAACAAAATAAATTACATATTATGTTTATCTGATATTCTAAAAAGGAGAGGTAAGGGCACGAGCCTCTTACATCAAATTCTAATAAAGTAGCATCCGTCCTTCTATAGCCTTAAAACTTAAAAGGCTTGATGAATTTTAACATATGAGGTGTCGTTCAATTCGCCTTAGTTGTGAAAGTAACATAGGGTATTAAAGGTTATCTTTTTAGTAATCTTTTACGCAGTCGGATTTTTTTAAATTACTTTGTTAAACATTAAACTTATATAAAACATACATGCCACAAAGCATGGCATTTGTGGCATTACTTGGGGGAGGCCTATGTTCAGCAGTGGACTTGTGAAGGGCTGTAATGATGATGATGATGATGAAAACATACATAAGCATAAACACTCACGCCTGTCACCCAGAGGGGTTGACAAAGACTACATACTTCCATTTGGCACGATCCTGACACACCTCTCTCGCCTCCTTCACATCCATATACCTACGCATACATGCTCGTCGGTTAAGGGTACTCCTAATTTGGCCTGTTTCTAATAAATCGCTAATTTGGTCGATAAATTTTCGCCTAGGACGTCTTTTTCCGACTCTGGCATTCACCTTTGCAACATAAATTTTCTTTGTCACTCTTTCCTCATTCATTCTTTGAACATGACCAAACCACCGAAGCATTCCGTTTTTAATCCTGGTCACAATATCATCTTACAAACCTCACTCTTATCACACAATGTCTCACCCTATCATTCAGATTCAGCCCACGTAATATACTCCTCAGATTCAGCCAACATGCTCCTTAACGACCGCATTAAACTTGTTGTTATAATATTAATAAATAATCATTATCATCATTATAGTTCTTTAGAAGTTCACTGCTGAACATAGGCCTCGCCTAAGGAATGCCACAAAAATATAAAAAATTTTTGGTATTTTTAATTTTTTTTAAATTTATTATACTTTATTCATTTCGTAATGTAGACGCTCACTAAGAACGAATTTTACGATAGTCCCATAAAAATATTTCTTGATATTTAATCTCTACGTTATCATCATCTATTATCGTTAGCCCAGTGAAGCGAGCGGGTATCAGCTAGTGAAGGTATAATCATATCGTTAGTTTAATTTATTAACTTTAGATGTGAAAAGCAGTTGGGCCATAGACGAGAGGTAGCGTCAAACGTCATCGAAAATCCGTCTACCAACAGCGGTGATTAATGATTTCTTATATTTACGCGAACACTATACATTGATTAAAACTACTTTTACGGATTTTATCGCGTTTTATTTATTTTTAATACCCGACGTTTCGGGTGCTTTCCAGCACCCATGGTCACGGAGGACTGAGGTAACTGACGTCCCGATGTCAAAGTTAACCCGGAGTACCTTCAGCTTTTTAATTATTGTCATTCTACGTAGATCGGACCAAAGACAATAATTAAAAAGCTGAAGGTACTCCGGGTTAACTTTGACATCGGGACGTCACCTCAGTCCCCGTGACCATAGGTGCTGGAAAGCACCCGAAACGTCAGGTATTAAAAATAAATAAAACGCGATAAAATCCGTAAAAGTAGTTTTAATCAGCGGTGATTAAGTCAAATCCTTCCCATTAAGAGAGATGTCCATATCTAGTAACTTGACTATATGAAAGACAAATGATGTAATTAAACTAATATATATATATATGATATTTTAACGTTACCTGCAATTAATGCCATCAATAATTAACATTAAAAATGAGGAGAATAATCATTAACAATGTAATATATTTCAGTAACAATAATTTACATTCTGTGACAAGCTATTTCAAACATTCTAGATTTCTTTTCGTTTCTAAGTTTACTAAACAACTGTAAGTTTTTAGTAAGTATTTTCTCCCGTGAATTTCCAACACTGTGTGTACTTTTTATAAAATTTGGCTTCAATTCTACTGAATTCAGGTTAACTTGTTGATCAGGACAACGGTTTTCTGTATTCATATTATTTTTATAATTAAAATTATCATCTTCATACATTTCTTCGTTGAAAGAGCTAGAAGTATTCTCGACTGTATTTTTATCGTTGTTGTTCTTCATCATTTTTCTTTTCACAGAGGGATACAATGTTTGTTTTTTATTGCGCGCATATTCACCGAACTGATCAAATTGTAGCTCTTCAGTTAAAAAACTCCTTTTAAGTGGTTCGCTGTCTTCATTCTTTATGTCTTTTGACTCGAATGGTGTTTCCATTTCATCTTCAAGAATTTTTAGTACTTGTTCAAAGTTATTTAAAGTCTTTTCCTTTTCTATTTTATTGAAATGGGATTCATAATTGATTATTTTTGTTTCAAGTAAACGGATCTTTTCTTCATATTTTCTCTTTTGCAAATCAGACTTATGAGCATTATTTTCTAATGTCAAAATTATTTTTTCCAATTGTGATATTTGATTATTTTTTGTCTCTAAAGTACTTACAAGAGAATCTATTTCCAAATTCTTCTTTGCAAACTGTTGATTAAGCTGCGAAAAAAAGTACTCACTTATATATTTCATATTTCTATATTTCTATTATATATTGATAATTTTTCTTAAAAACGAATCATTTAAATTGGTTTATTACTATAATACTGACTTGTATCCTACGTCAGGTTATTAACTTTATGAAAATCATGACTGACTTTTCTAAAAATTGTTTTTCAAGGGTGTCAAATGTCTCATAGCCGCCTGTCTATTATTACAAATTGACCGCATCATTGGTCTAGTGGTGAGAGAAAGAGGGTAGTAGCTCAAATCTTTTTCGGATGGAATTAACGTTCATCTACTTATAAATATATATATTTTATAGTATTATAGGTATATATTTTATAGTATTATAGGTATACTTAGTTTATCTCTCTCTACTAATTATATTATTTTGATTAATATTTTATTAATAATCAAAATAATTATTGTTAATGTAATTACTTATAATAATAACATTACAGAAATAAACATATATTAGTTGAAATAAATTATAACGACATGGGACCGTCCAACTAATGATGCTATATTCGATACTATAACTAAATAATATTTACGTTTCTGTTTAAATAGACTAATTAGTAAATAAAAATATTTTGTGTTAGTATATGGGACTACGTTTCTGTTTAATTGGACTAATCTCTACATATAATAAATCTATAGAAAACTTGTGTGTTCACGATTAACGCAAAAACTACCTGGACAGATTTCTAAGAATAGTGTGCAGGCAGTAAATAATTGTTTAGGCAACATTTTATCCGCTTAGTGAAAGTAAATACAGAAGGGTTATGTTTTACTTTTTTTAAGTTTATTGGCATAAGGTTTGTTGATGGTTGTATTAGGTTGTAGTATAAGTGTGTGTGTGTGTGCGCCTGCGCGTGTGCGTGTGCGTGTGCGCGTGCGTGTGCGTGTGCGTGTGCGTGTGCGTGTGCGTGTGCGTGTGCGTGTGCGTGTGCGTGTGCTGCGCGTGCGTGTGCGTGTGCGTGCGTGCGTGTGTGCGTGGTGCGTGGTGCGTGGTGCGTGTGCGTGGTGCGTGTGCGTGCGTGCGTGCGTGCGTGGTGCTTGTGAGTGTGAGTGTGTGTGTGCGTGGTGCGTGTGCGTGCGTGCGTGTGCGTGGTGCGTGTGCGTGGTGCGTGTGCGTGGTGCGTGCGTCGTGCGTGTGCGTGGTGCGTGTGTGCGTGTGCGTGGTGCGTGTGCGTGGTGCGTGTGCTGTGTGTGTGTGTGTGTGTGTGTGTGTGCGTGTGTGTGCAAATGTCACTCATCGCGCCACCAATTAGAAAGAGTTCTGCATTTGGTTAGTTACAAGTGCAATATGAACACCTGCAACCAACTTTAAACAAAGAATAAACAGAGTACATATACTTCTCTGAGAACTAATGCCTCACAGCCTGTAATTATACTGCTTCTCAGCTCTCACCCTTTGTACCAGAACACATTACTGCTGCTTGGTGGAACCTAGATGGACCCCTAGGCATAAAAGGAACTATTTGTCACCTAGAGATTTTACTGAGTTTTTACTGGAAGCGAGACATTTTATCTTTGTCCTCTGGGATGACAAAAACACCTGCATTTTGATTCTTAATCGAGGATAGATCTATAGTTCTATGGACTACAGCATCCGCTTAACATCATATGTACTGTGTGCTCGTTTGTCACTAAAAACAAACTGTACGCACTCTAAAATATTTTAATAAGTTTACCTCAGATTCTACATTAGCTCGTAATTCCATGTTATTTTTCAGTTGTTTATTAATTATAGCTTGTTCTTCCACATCGTCAGTCAATTTTTTTATAAGATCATCTTTTTCTTGCAACATTTGACTCTGTGTCTTCACAGTCTCACATATTTCCCTTAATTCGATATCTTTGTGCTGTAGTTTTTCAGAGATGTCACAATTCTGACGATTGGTTTCAAGTAATCTTTCGTTTTGTTGATTTATCTTGATAAATAACAAATTATGATTATATTTATTTATTTATTTAACAAGTACACTTACAATACACATATATGACAATCACGAAAACATACACATTTCTATAATCTCTGATATGTATATCCATAACAAGTGTACATAACATTCACAAATTGAGTCGTGCTATTTTGGGTTAATTTGGAGTACAAATATCATCCGATCAATACAATGCAAATTAGAATTATTCAAATAAATTATGTGCTTAAATAAGAAAAATCTAAAGATAAAAAACAGGCTTAATTATTAAAAGGGAATATGCTAGGTATTATACTCTCTTCAGGAGTATGTATATTTTTAATTTAAGTATAAGATATATTATATTAAGGATGTAATTTATATCAGGAACTCGATGATAAATGATTTGTAAGTTTGATTTTGAATGCAATATAAGAGTCGTTAAATATGTCAATGCCGGGTATGGTTTTAGAAAATTCGTTATATTTTCCACATATACGCACGATAGGAGCGTGACTCCCGAAATGAGTTTTCGCGAAAGGAATATAAAATGTTTTTTGAATGTGACAACGGGGATATTTACGCGGAACGGCAAATGCGGTCAAGGAGGTCACTGTACTTACTTTATTGTGTACTATTTTTTGTAGAAAACACAAATCTAAAATACTCGTATCTCGTCTATTTCGGAGAGACATCATTTTAAACTTATCCAGTCGCTGATAATAAGGCTGCCGTTGTGAGATACACTAGCATGAAAGGCAAGGTGTCGAGTAAAGGCGCGCTGTACACTTTCAACGCGTTGGGAGTGCACACTAGAAGATGGATTTTATATTAGTACTGATGGAGTACTAATATAAAATCCATCGTAGTATTGATGGAGATTATATTAGTACATATGTAGTGTAATAAGTGGTTGTCATAATAACTTATAACAAAACATATACCGTTTCAAGTAGCTGGTCAATATTTTCATATCCACCGAATTGGTTCTTCAATTGCGTGATAAAACTTTTAAGGGAAGACAATTCAGTTTCATAATGTTCCAGTTTTGTTTCACTATAAAGAAATATTATTTACTAATCAATTGAATAACTATAAGAATACCAGTATTTTAACATTGTTATTAAATTCATTGCTAAACTTGGCTTTTGTCTTTGCTGTTTGTATAATTTTGAAGCTTGTCTGACAGATAAAAGCTATAAAACAGACAGATATAACAGAACATAAGCTTTGACAGATTGGACAAGACATTTACCTTTCTTGAAGTTGATTTCTCAAAGAATCTTCATGGTTTTTAAGTTTTACTGTATATTGTTCTTGCTCTGCTAAGTCTTGTTTTAATTTCAATATTTCTTCTTGAGATTGTTTCCAATGGTTCTAAAATGGTAATAATAAATACTAAATACCAATATATGTAATTTTATTTGTTTAGTTTTTGTAATTGCTTACTTCTATTTCACTCCTAGCCTCAGTTTGTTGAAGCAATTGGACTTCATAATTTTTTGCTTCTAAACATGTCTTTTCCAACTCTTTCCGTATATTTGCATGTTCATGTTCCAATGTCATTACGTTATCTAAAACAATATTTGTACAAGATTTGCAATATTTCCGTTATTTATACTTATAAATTGGCTTAGTAAAGGGATTTAAAGTATAGAATATTTTATTAAAATACTTTAACAATTCAACCAAGGCCGTAATGGGACATTTTCCAAATTTTTACAAATGCTAACCTCATCTTCACACTACACTATTACTACTACCTGCTATTTGATGGAAACAATTATAGTGACAGATAGTCGAAAATCAATTCGAAAATGCAAAATTAACTTATTACAGACCGGTGATGGAGCAGCGATATCCACTCTTAGATACTGACTTATGTGATGAACAAATCATCAAAACCACGTTTAAAAGACACATTGTATTGTGTTGTCTTAATATTAATTATTGGATATTTTGAGTGTTAATCCGTTACCTGCTAGCTGTCTCATGATTTATCTGATCATAGTCAATCAATTTGTACGTGATCTACGTGGATATAAAAAGTAATTTCCTAAGTACTTGTATCACGATATCACAACATAAATTTTAAGCAAAATTATTACAAATTGGCTTGATACTAACTTAACTGTAACTCTATTTGTTTTAACTTTTGTAAAAGGTCTTCATTTCGTGATTCAGCCTCTAACAGTTGTGCACAAAAATGTGACTCTAGTTTCTTTTTTTCTTCAACTTCAATATTATACTTGGTTTCTGTTTCAGCTAATTTTGCCATGTTTGATTTCATTTCTGTCTGTATTTTTCGAAGTGACTCGTCATAGTACATTGAAAGCTCTGTGATTTTTTTCTCAAGATCATCTTTCCTGTGTTTTTATTTTAATTAGTAGATAAAAATATTTTACGAAATAATTTTCATATTTAACTTTCGTTACTTACTCAATTTGTAGTTTTTTACGATCATGTGCTATTTCTTCCAAATTTGCTGTGTTTTCTTTGACAGTTTCATTTAATCTCATTAGTTCGTCGTCATAATTTCTTTGTAGCTTTTGGTTCTAAACACCGGTATGACATAAGGAACTGACTTTTAGAAAATAATATCAAAAATAATACAATTTATATATTACAGTCGACTTTTATCGATTTGGTACCGTAAAATTTGGTTTCAAAACTATCTTACGAAAATATATGATGCCGGAGTTGATGTAAGAAGTTTTTTCTCAAAAGGCTTTTTCTCGCAAAAGGCGGGAAGTCACTATAGAAAAATTCAAAACCTCACGACCTCTAATAGATGATTGTATATCATACATATAAGTTAGTTGAAAAAACACAGACACGACGGGAAGCACCATTAAAGTTGGAAGCTTCGAATCGTCGGTGACCGAGCTCTTTCCGATCGGCTTGACTCACTGGCACTGCGAAAAGATGTGAAAGACATGCATCTTTGCGTATTTTATCGCATCTACCACGGAGAGTGCTCAGACGAATTGTTCGGACTAATTCCAGCCGCACAATTTCAACATGGCACATCGCGAAAAAACTCGCGATACCATCCATACCATCTGGATGACTGGCGGTCCACCACCGTGCGATTTAAAAAAGTTTTCTTCCTCGCACAACTTCCTTGTTGGAATCAATTACCACCAGAGATTTTTCCGGACCGATACGACTTAGGGACCTACAAGAAAAGAGCCTATTCCTAATTAAAAGGCCGGTAACGCATCTGCAATCCCCCTGGTGTTGCAGCTGTTCATGGGCGGCGGTAGTCACTTACCATCAGGTGAGCCGTATGCTCGTTTGCCCCCTCTCCTACATAAAAAAAATTTGGCAATACGGCAAATCCTTCCAACAATAGAATTGGTCTATGTACTCGTACCGCAGAGGATTCGTAACGAGCCAATAATTAAAAATAAGAATAAGATTGTGATTAAGACGACACATTAATGATGATAATCTTATACGTGGTAGAGCCACGCTACATATATATATTAATAGTATAGTTGTAGCACAAATGGGCCGGCTCGACCGGGGAAGGAACACTCTATCACAAAATACCAGCTAAAATAGCAGCTTAACGCTGCTGTGTTTCGTATGGTGAGTGTAGAGAACCGGAGACCCTTTTTACTGGAAACGAGGCATTACATCTTAGTCCTCACGGGTGACAACGCATCTGCATTTTGATTCGTAGTTCAGGAAAGATGTGGACTGTATGCTCGTTCGTCACCCTTATCGTATAAAAAATAATATTTTACTTACATTACGGCTTTAAAATATTTTATATTTTTATAGCAACGCCCGTGATAAAAGATACAGCTTGTAAACAAACTATTAAGGGTGCTCGCACGCCAAATTAAAAAAACTTGTACTATGTCGACAACTGTGTTAAATGAGTAGGTAGTGTAGTAGTCTCTTTAAATTCTGAATTAGATACGTTTATAACATCCGTTTCCACTCGTTTGTTTCGCCACACTGCTCTATCATACTGGTGTGAAGGAAACAATATAACGATATTATAATCATTATATTACTAAATTTGCACAACTCTTTCTTTTTTTAACTGGAGATCGCTCTACACAGTGTAAAACTAACTGGAAATCGCTCTACACAGTATAAAACAAAGTCGCTTCCCGCCGTTTGTACGCTTAGATCTTATAAACTACGCAACGGATTTTGATCACATTTATGTGTGCGTTTGAGATGGATGGCTTAGATTCACAATTGGACCCCGTAGATGACGCTGTTGTCGATATCTAAAAATCAACCGTGAGATGCCGAGATGGATCGCAAGTTATTAATAAAAACCGCTTCATCTTTGAGGATTTCTTTTCATAAAACCAAGTAGATAGAAATAAGAAGTACCAAGTAGATAGTAGATATAGAGAGGAGATAATTTTCATATTCACTTGGTAATAGGGTACCTAGTGAATATGAAATAAAAGTACATTTCTAGTTATTAATTTAATTATTTTTGACGAAATTATTTATATTTATCAAGATTTTTAACGTGGTAGAGTCACGCTGCAGTTATATTATAGTTGTAGCACGAATGGGTCGGCTCGACCGGGGAAGAACCACGCTCTCACAGAATACCAGTGTTTCGTGTGAGTGTAGAGAACGGAAGACCCTTTTTACTGGAATCGAAGCATTATATCTTAGTCCTCAGGATGACAATGCATTTGTATTTTGATTATTAATTGAGAATAAATGTGTAGGCCACAGCATTCTCTTACCATCAGGTGGACTATGTGCTCGTTTGTCACCCAATGCTAAAAATAATACAAGAAGCCAAAATTACTAACAGTATATATAACACTTTCCTAACAAACGGTGTAAACACAGTAAACTAACAAATAACTAACAGTAACAGTAAGAACAGAATAAAAGTATCCAGTCACAGTTTATAATGCATTTAAAGAAACTTAAATTAAAAAAATTACGGCCGGTCGATACCTGTTGTTCCAGGTGTAGCATTGCATCTTCCATGGTATGTAATTGCAAGTGGGCTTTATTAACCTCGTCCTGTAACTGAGACGTTCTTTCAGTAGCCTCTTTGACTTGACTTTCAGCTCTGGACAGACGGTTTTTCATAGACATTCTTTTGGCTTTTTCTTCTTTTAGTTCCTTTTCTAGTTCCTATTTGATTAATTTGTTACTATTTATTTATTTAGTTTGATACTACTAAATTGTCAACATATAGATTCCTAGAAATAGTCTTTTATATGTTAAAAAGCTTACTAAAAATTCCATGATGTTTAATAAAAATTAAAAGTTAAAGTAAAGATATACTTAATAATCCTACATAAAAGTATTAATCCTTTTTTTAAATATTTTTTCTGTCTGGATTGAAGGAACAACTATATTTTGAATTTTAATTATTTCAATAGTATTAATATAAAGTATCTTACGAAAAAAAATATTTTTTTCCAAAACACGAGTAATCATTTGTATCACAAATTTTTAATTAAATAAAAAAATCATACAGATTGACTAATTCAGGATACAGTTGGAAAGGATTCTAGTTTGAAGGACTCACAAAAATGCCGCCCAATATAAATCATATATTCAAGTATTTAACCATATCAAGGTACATTACAATTTAAAAATAACTTTTCAATACCTCAACCCTTCTTTTATTACAATGCGATCTTAAGTTTTCCGCATTAAACAATTGCTTACGAAGATCAGCATTCTGCGAGTTTAACTCTGATAACTTGCAAGTCATCTGTTCTGATTGTAAATGCATCGCCATCGTGTCGTTCACGCTTTGCCTGCCAATAATAATTATTTTATGCGGTTTTACCTTTGAGTATTCAACCAATTGGTTTAATACTCAAAGAGTTTTACGGATAATATCTATTAGATATCGTAACTTTTACAATTTTTATTTTACCTTATGTACTGTTCAATTATTTGAAGCTCTTGAATACATTCAGTTTTTAGGTTCCTTAAGATAGCGGTCAACATTTCATTTTCGGAATTAAATGCATTAAGTTTTTTAGTGAGAGTATTGCTGCTGACCTGTCGTGTGAGATTAAATTAAGGAATCATTTGTAATGTGACAATTATAATATACATACAACAAACATGGCATATTACAAAAAATTGATAAATAAACAAATTTTTAGCAATCATTTTTTGAGTGTTAACTAAGCAAATGTTAAAAAATAAATAAGAAAATTATATTTTTAAATTTTGGATTATTAACCTGCGATTTCAAAGAACCAAACCAGTCAATGACTTCTTTCCCTTTCTCTAAAGCTTGTTCACATGTAGTTATTAATTTAGACGGCATTTTGTACAATTTTTGAATATCTACAGGAAGCATGTTATTCACTGGTTGTGAGGTGTCTGAAACATAAAAATAACAGCCTATATACCTTACGAGGTACATGCTTACTCTCAATCATAAGAGAAGGCGAGAAAGAATCTGTCGCTTTACCCCAATTTACGTATGAACGGAATGCCGATATAACTACAGGTTGTGAGGCATCCACTTAGTCCTCACAGGTATCGTCAAAAAGAGAGAGAGAGAGAGAGATAAAATAGCAATAAAATGTAATGACTTCTCAGCGGCAGATGGGTGCAAGAAAATGAAGTGGGACCTCGGACTGCGCGTACACTATACTGATTAACTGCGATTTGCTGTTAATAATTTTAATGTTGCCATAATTAACAGAAAAAACACTTATTTTTTATCACGCCTCCTGCCGCTGTACTTTCAGCGTGCTCTTCATTGGCGCACCACAAAAATAAATGGTCAATGTTGTTGTTGAGTCTTTGAGATACGTCATTCTCGTTGAATTAAGTTATTTAAAAAGAATAGTGATTATGACAAACTAAAGCAAAAGTATTTGCCTACAGTCCATAAATCTCTATAGCCCATAAGACTCTATACATAGCAGTTTAACAGCAAGAGTTGATACTGATCACTTTGACATACTGTTTTGGAACTTAGTTTCTCTGCACATCTGAAGCAACTGCTCAGGAGATAATTTTGCAACATTCATAACGTGTAAATCGTCTGTAGCAGGCAATTCTACATTTTGTCCAGACTCTATCATTTTCTGATGAAGAATGCGCAGCGTCGCATAGAGTTCAACTACTAACTTCTGTAAACAAATAAAAGGTAACAAAATTCAACAACCATGTAAAACCATAAATCAAATGTGGTTAATCTCGGCTTTCTTGTTATGTTGTCTTATTACTAGGTTAACTAAGTGATAAATAAGTAAGATAACCCTTTTATTAAAATGCCCTTTGCTTTAATAATCATCCTGTGGAATAAAATCATATTAAGGAATTCATTCATTACAATAAAAAGTCCACTGTTGAACATATGGCTCCTCTAGGGATTGTCCCATAGCTGCCCCTGCTTCAGCTTCCCTCTGTTGTCTCTTACAAAACCCACAGGATAATATATTACAGTCCATCTGATGGTAAGTGGATGCTGTGGCTCATAGACATCTACATTTATCCCCAATTAAGAATAAAAACACAGATGCGTTGTCACCCCTGGGGACTAAGATGGAATGCCTCGTTTCCATTAAAAAATTGTTTCCGGATCGCTACACTCACCATACAAAACACTGTAGTATTAAGCTGCTATTTTACGCTGGTATTCTGTGAGAGTGTGGTTCTTCCCCGACCTAGCCGATCCATTCGTGCTACAACCATAATATAGCTGCAGCGTGGCTCTACCACGTTTAAATGCCATAGCCAAATGGAGTAGTGGATTTTCTAATAATAATAATAAAGGCAATAAAGGAATAATATGATAGAATATACAATAGTGTAACGTTCCGTTGTAACGAGGAATACGATAGCTTTTATTTACGCGGGCTCGGTGCAGCGACAAAGCTCTTGCAACGGACATATGACGATAAAAGGTGATAACGGGAAGCATGTCTAAAGTAACGATAAAGGTAAATGGTAGAAATATTTAATGGCTTCCGATACATGGTAGTTTTACCATTTCGTTTACGCCAGTCGTAAGTAGGTACTCAACAGGTACAAGTAGGACAACAACGTCGTAGGTGCGAAACGTCTGGAGCTGCAATGATCAATCTGCCTGGTTAGCGCAACGATAAAGACAAATCCTCCATACAACACGTAATCAGCAGTAGATTTTAAAGGTATTTTTATAGAGTAAGGGTGGTAAACTAACGCCGACCACCTGATGATAAGTGGGTGCTGTGGCCCGTAGAGATCTACATTTATCCCCGATTAAAGATCAAAATGGAGAAGCGTTATCACCCCTGAGGACTAAGATGGAATGCCTCGTTAACAGTAAAGAGGGTCTCCGGATCTCTATACACGCCATACGAAACACAGCAGCATTAAGCTACTAATTTACGTTGGTATTCTGTGAGAGCGTGGTCCTACCCCGGTCGGGCCGACCCATTCATACCACATCGATATTATAGCTGCATCGTGGCTCTACTACGTATAAGGATCCCTATATACACCATACGAAACACAGCAGCATTAAGCTACTAATTTACGTTGGTATTCTGTGAGAGCGTGGTCCTACCCCGGTCGGGCCGACCCATTCATACCACATCGATATTATAGCTGCATCGTGGCTCTACTACGTATAAGGATCTCTATATACACCATACGAAACACAGCAGCATTAAGCTACTAATTTACGTTGGTATTCTGTGAGAGCGTGGTCCTACCCCGGTCGGGCCGACCCATTCATACCACATCGATATTATAGCTGCATCGTGGCTCTACTACGTATAAGGATCTCTATATACACCATACGAAACACAGCAGCATTAAGCTACTAATTTACGTTGGTATTCTGTGAGAGCGTGGTCCTACCCCGGTCGGGCCGACCCATTCATACCACATCGATATTATAGCTGCATCGTGGCTCTACTACGTATAAGGATCCCTATATACACCATACGAAACACAGCAGCGTTAAGCTACTAATTTACGTTGGTATTCTGTGAGAGCGTGGTCCTACCCCGGTCGGGCCGACCCATTCATACCACATCGATATTATAGCTGCATCGTGGCTCTACTACGTATAAGGATCCCTATATACACCATACGAAACACAGCAGCATTAAGCTACTAATTTACGTTGGTATTCTGTGAGAGCGTGGTCCTACCCCGGTCGGGCCGACCCATTCGTGCCACAACCACATTATAGCTGCATCGTGGCTCTACTACGTATAAAAGAAGAAGGGTCAAAAGGGAAAGGAAAAATAGGTTGTAAAAGAAGAAGAATAATGAAGAATAAGCAATAATATGTGTATTACGGCATTGTATCTTGTGACCCTAAGTGAGACCGCGATATCTAGTAGAGGAACATTGGTCCAAAAGCTCGTTGTGGGATGGAAAAGATATGTAAAAGCTTGTGGGAATGCTAGACAGAAATTTCAACTTTGGATGTCTAATGGAATGCCTGATCATGGCGAATTATTTAATGAAATGCCTGGCAGTCGAAAGGAATTTAAATCACGCTTAAAAATAGCAGCAATTAAAATGGACAATATAGTGTCATCGCATTTCAAAAATGCTTTTAGTGCTTTTTGGAAAAGCTCTAGTAGGATGAGGGCTTGCCCTGACCACTCTGTGAGAGTGGGAAGAGTGAATGACCCTCAGGAAATTGCCAACCTCTTTTCTCTGTACACACTGTGGTCATCTCCATATGAGTCGGTGCAAGATGCTGAGATAATCACTGATGAAACAGTGAACAGAACTAGTGTGAAAAATATCGAAGATGTGAAGGCAAATGTCATAAAATCTAGGTCCAGGGGCACGTCTCTAATTCATCCAAGTCTATCAAGCATCTACAGTATTGCATATGAGCAATTAAATATATTTACATAGGTCTTCTTCTTCTTTCGCAACAGCCCCTAAAAGTCTATTGTTGAGTATGGGTCTATTTATTTTTTATTTTATTGTAGCGAAGATTTGCCTTAATCGTCACGCCTGGTAAGCGGATTTCGTAGTACAGAACCAGACGTCTTGCACCTTAGACGCTGCTGCCTGTTGCCAGTCCGAGCATTTTACGTCTGGCGTAAGCATGTGTCTGACAGTTACTGTGCCATCTTTAAGAAGCCACATAAGGCTATTAAGGTATTTTGATAGCTACCTCTTACGTTGCCAACGGGAACGTGTTGATGAATTCTCATCTGCCGCAACAGTTTTATTTATATATGTAATACCTTTTACCTGTTTATCGCTGAGTTCATTCTTAATTTTCTGGAATTCGCTGTTTTTCTCTTGCCACTTATTTTTTACCTCCCCTATCTGCCCCATTTCTGAAGTCGTTGAATCTAAAATGTACACAAAAATTTAAATAATAAGTTGAAAAACTTTAACGCATGTAATAAACTTAATCGTAAAATGATATTTCAAATGTCAGTATCTACTTCCCATATTTGATATCACCTTAAGGGGAAATATAACCTCAAATGGCTTAGCAAGATCCTCCGTTATGCCGAAAGTATTGCAGCATTAATTTTGAAATAAATATATGGTAAAGTTGAGGATTAATGTTAAGGTTTATGTTAGACGAAAACACGATTCCGTAAAATTTTCTCCATAGAAAAAAAAATCCAAAGTTACCTCCAAACTGAACAATAAACCGCTGTTATTCATAAAATACTTTAAATAAGATCATGAAACTTTGCATACTAACTGAACTAACCATAAAGCAGTGCTTATGTTATTTACTTTTTTTAAAATATCATTATTTTCACTGTAAAAAGAAATTACCTAAACTATCGGCGCGTAAGCTTGGTTCCTGTCGCTCCGTTAGTATTGCTCCGGCTTTTGAATGGGAGAAGTTGTGTCGCTTACGATCAGAAAACACATTACGCAACAGGAAGACGTAAAATTAAAATGGGAAATAACCGTTATAAAAATAAGAAGCGACTGGGTTGGCGTTAAGAAACAGGCATATATATGATAAACATAATGAAATAAGTATCTAACGACCTATCTACTTAGAGTATTAGTGATTACAAACATGTCGGTACATAGCATACGACGCGCGGGGAAGTGGGGGCGAAATCAAAATTTGAGCTGACTTACTCTCACCTCTTAATATTTCACAAAACATGAATATTTTAATCGGAACAATGTCCATAGTATTATTTACTTTTACTACTTTATTTTTATTTTAACGCTCAACCCAAACAGCTACATGTAGAAATCTAAATTTTGGACAGTGGCTACCTTTTTTAACGTAGGTATCCATTAAAAAGGATTTTAGAAATGAAAATAGTTTGTATGAAACGTTTTACTAGTACGCTACAGGCATCCTGACTGGATGTTACAACTTGGACGCGCGTAGCGCCGCGGGGGAAAAGCTGGTAGTTTGATAAAATAAATAAATACAACTTACTGTCGGGAATGGAAAAAGTGGGGGTGGGCAAATCTTCACAACAATTAATGAAGTTGTAATTGTTTCTATAATCTCTATTTTTTTAAATTCCCCTTTTTATGGCATGTAATTGTAAAAATGTTTATCACTGTTTAGTCTTTTCACTGTTATAAAAAGTAGTGTTTGCCACATTTATCTTAGAATGTAATGATGTGCACAAACGTTGGTGAACATAATAAATAAAACAAAATAAATAGTAGCCTATGTCCAGCCGTGGACATAAAAGTGTATTAATGGTGATATGATCAATCTGTGGTGAATATAGCTTTTTCACAGTGTATATGAGCGAATATTCTATATATTTGTTAAATATTTAGTAGTAGTAACAAATTAAGAATACTAGCGTAAAATAGCAGCATAATGCTGCTGTTTTTCGTATGGTGAGTGTAGAGAACCGGAGACCCTTTTTACTGGAAACGAGGCATTCCATTTAAGTCCTCACGGGTGACAACGTATTTGCATTTTGATACGTAATCCAAGATAAATATAGATGTCTATGGGCCACATCAACCACTTACCATCAGGTGAACTCTGTGCTCGTTTGTCACCTTTTCTTATAAAAAAGTAACTATCACACCAGCTTGCACATTCTTGGAAATGTCTGCGCCTAACAGGGGACTTCAAACTGGTTATAGAAGAGCTTGTAGCGGCGGTGTCGTCGCACCACAAGCGAATCATCGGAACCTACATCGCGCCATCAAAGTTCCGAATAAAAAACAGTGTATATAGAACAGCTCCGAACTATCTCACGGAGCGTTGGCCGCTCCCCGGGCTGAACACCTTGCCCGGCGGGAGATTTCTTTTTCCTTCCTCGGCCACAATCTTACCAGCTATGGTAGTTAAAGAAGTAAGCTAACAAGTCTGTAATACATTTTTAACATACCATTCTCACTCAGATCGTTACATCCAAATGTTTCTTTCGATTCATCACTTTTTTGTAATTCCAACTCTTCATATCGGTTAATTGTTTCCTGATAAAGAAATATAAAAGTATATCATAATATTGTTAATCGCTTTTAAGCGATATTTTCCCTATTACTATCCGATACTTATACCAGAGTTTAAAACGAACAATATATTTTTGTATAAATGTTAGTCCTAGATAGTATTCTATAATTCTGTAATTATACTAGCTTTTTAGAGCAGAACACAGCAGTGTAGGCAACGCTGATTGGCGGCAGGAAGTGATTAGAGAGTGGTATCTATTCTACACCGCACAGGATCATAAAAGTAGTCCTATCTAGAAAAACTGATGTTACACCGGGCACAACACAAGTAGACAAGGTAATTCTTTTTAATTAAGAAAGTAAAAATAATAGGAAAACGACAAATTGAAATAAAAAACAGTATGTGTAAAAACTTTACGCGAGGCTGAAAAGAGTTATTAATATTAATAAAATACTCGCGTTCGAAGGTCGTTTAAGCGATAGTAGCCTAATGGCAGGGCGCGGACCGCGAACTCAAAAAGGTCGTGGGTTCGAATCCACCATTCGACAACTGGCGTGAACCACTCGTAACACAAGCAATTTAAGCTTACCACGAGTGGTTAAGTGGAATTTTAGTAATGTTTATAGCATTGTTAATATTCTTTTTTTTTTAATTCGACCGTAATCCATTAAGTTATGTATTAAGTTTGTATATTAAGAAGGCTGAATTTACTTTCAACTGCACATATATTATGTAACAAAGGTATCTAATATACAAAATTTAAAATAAACGCTTTTATGCTTGAAACGTAGTATTAAGTACTTTTCGGTGCTTACTATGAGACATTGGCAGTACGAGTATGAACGTAAACAATGTATGTTTTATTTAATTTAAATTAATGTATTTGTAACATATTTTTGTTTTCTCCATCTCTACATAAACTTTACTATGCTAAATCTCACACTCATCAGTGGGAGCAATATGCATGAAAAATGGCTACAAAGTTTTCTCTTCGCGTACTTAGAAATTAATATAGATAATATTTATTGCTAGGTCATATTTATTTTTATTTATTTATTATTTTTTATTCCTTTTACTTAATGAAAAATTATCAATAAAAGTATTATTATTATTTGTACCCTATATATATATATATATATATATATATATATATATATATATATATATATATATATATATATATAGAGAGAGAGATAGAGATCTCTTTACGGTAAATGTTGATCAGACGCGACTTCACGCGAGCACTTTGTTGATCCGAAAACGCATGTTGATCCGGCGTCTTTTGTTGATCCAATATGCATCTCTGGTAACTAACGTGGCTCCGACCGGATCAACATCTGCACTCACGAGACTGTTTGCCAGCGTTTGCCGAAGTTGATCCGATATACAAATCCACCTTGCGATGGTTACGGAAAATGTTGATCCGATTTAAATGAGCCAACCAGAGCACAGCAAACGATAAGATAAACGATCGGATTGGCTGAAAGCAGCCGCGACGTTGCCATTTCCTATCTTTGGCGGTAAAAGCTACAGATTTAATGCGTGTTATGTAATGCATTCA